CAGCAGTCGCACTGGTGGCGCTGGCTAGGAATCTGAACAGGGCCTCCGGGCCTCTCTTTCCCCTCCTGCCTTCTTTTCCCTTGAAAGCGAAAGAGACAGAACGCCCAGCTCTGGGGCAGCGGGCGCCGGTGACTTCTCCGAACTAAACTTGAAGATAACGACATTACAATGAGTGGCAGGGCGCACAAAACCCCACGGGCTCAGGTCAAACGGCATTAGTCACAGGTCTTAGCCGCCGCGCCGCCCCTTAGGCATCCCCGAGTTTCAAAAGACGCGCTCGAGGGGCTCTCGCGAAGGAAGATCCTTCCGTCCGACTTCTCGCTTCCTCAGGGTTTATTTTGCCTGTCCACCGGCGGCCAGCCCACCCTCCCTCTTCCTCCCTGGCGCCTCAGGAATTCTTTCGGGGCCGCTGGACGTGGGGTCCACGTGGGTCGCAGCAAGGGGTTGACCCGCATTCCAAAGAATGTCAGGGCCCCCTTTCAAAAGAAGGGAAGATAGCAGCAGTTAGTCTACACGGAGGTAGAAGGGCCGGGTGTGTGTGTTAGGGGGTGGGGGGTGCGGGTGCAGCCCGTCGGTGGGCAGGACAGTAACTGTCACAGCTACTCCCAGGAAAATGCCCCAGCGGGGGAGCGGCCTGGGGAAGGGGGCGCGAGGAAGGCCCTAGTCTGGCTGAGTGCTCCCTGTCTCCAGAACAAACCCGCAGACACAGGCTCCATCCCCATCTGGCGAAGATCGGGGAGGCACCTCGCGGGTGAGAAGCCCAACACCGGTAGTCGCTGCCCCCCTCCTTCCCTGAACTGGCAATTGCTGGGAGGGGGGAGGGTAAAGGGCTGGGGGAGAAGAGACGGAGAGAATACAAAAAACCCCAAAAAAACCACGTCCGGAAAGCAGTGGGGAGGAGCAAAGTACTTTCCGTAAATAGTCACTTATTTAAAAGCCGTCCCTTTCCTGAGGGGTGTCCCCCTTCGTCCCCGCCGCCCAGTTCGCGGCCCCGCGCAGTCAGGGGCGCACCAGCTCCATCCTCGCGTCATCCCCCAGCATTAATTCGGCTCCAGAACCCGCCCCCCTAAATAACTTTTTAATTCGAATCAAGGGAGAGCTTTAGCGGGCTCCGTTTCTGGTTTAATGTGATATAAATCGCAGATGCACTTTCCCTGAATGGTTAAAGCAGCGACATGGAGATCATCAACAACAAAAAACAAACGCGCCGAACAAAACCATCCAGAGAAATAAAGCTGGTTAATAAGATTTTTGAGAAAGCTTTGTGTTAAAAAGCAAAAAGGAAAACCAGCTGAAGGTGACAGTTAGTTCATGGTTAATAGGATCAGGGAGGCCTGGCGAGGCTGCACACTTCTCTTTGGGGAGGTTCCGCCACACCACAGAAATGAATGGGACATTTAACACATCTGTTATCTCGCGGAGCAGACAGGGGGGCATCGAGGCTCAGCGCCACCTCAGCCCGGACCCGGAGGAAAGGGAAGGAGTGTCTGCAGGAATATTCTCGCCTGAGGCCCGGAATCAAGGACAGGCTTTCCTGACGCGGACAGACATTCTTGGGGACCTCCGCCTGCGCTCTATTTTCAGGTGTTTGTACTTTGCAGTTAATTAAGCAACTTCAAAACCTTGACCAAGTCAAGCGCCCCGCCACGGGTGGGTAGGGCTCTCTCCGGGAGAACTCCTACCTTCACTACCAGGCTTTAAAAGTTCAGGCTGTGAGTGAGGTTTCAACGGAAACGGCCTAAGGCCCCCTGAGTTGGGCACGGCCGGCGCGTAGCCCTCGCAGCATTCCGCTGGCCCTGTGCGAGGCAGCTTCGGGCAGGGGGGAGCCCTTTGCAAGTGGAAACCCGCCGCGGGAGAGGCGCTCCCCTCGGCTCCAACCCCAGGAGAGACGCGGAGCGCTGGTTGGTAACACTCCTAGAAAAAAAGTGGCAGAAAATCGTTTTTTCCAAGTTGCTGGGAGTTCACATAAGGAGCCTCATTTTACTGTTCAGGTATCCACCAACTCGCTGAAACTCAACGTTTCCCATAATGAAATAAATCAAGATCTCTCCCCTCTACCCCTATGGACAAGCATCCAGGAGGCCCAAACAAGTCCCCCTGGGTTGTTAGAGGGGCACTCACTCCCTACACACACTGACTTAGCTCACCTCTCACATCTGCTTTACGCCTCAGCTGCAGGAACGGATAGGAAGAGGGAGTATACTTTCATGTTCATTGACTTGAAATTTTCCATTGCCCTCTCCCCCGCCAAAAAAGAGGGAGGATTATTTTACTGATTGCCTGGAGGTGAATTTCTATGAATATTTATTGATTTATTTTCTAGGCTCAGCAGGGGACCTGCAAATAAATTTAGTGCGTTCTTTAAATAGGTCCTTTTCTATGAGGCAAGATGTCATCTGAAACTTCTAAATAGGCATTTAATTAGCCCGGTGTTGCTTCCGAACAAAAACCCCCGGCGAGAGCTTTGGGGACGCACTGTATTGCAAAGAGGCGGTCGATATGCAGAATTGATGCGCCCAGCCTTTGTCGCCGGCCCATTGTGCGGGCGATGCTTATGAAGACTAATCCAATCATAAATTGCACCCCTGCGCCAATCAGAGCGCCCAGAGCCTCTGGCGAATGAAGCTCGAGTGGAGAACTTTGTTGAACTTCATTGTCAGAGCTGTCACTTTTCAAAGCGCTTTAACGGGCGGGTCGCTATAAAACCATCACCTCGACGGGAGGACCACGGAGACTCGCCGGCGCCCAAGTGGGAGCGTTGGTTACTTGGAGACTTTTGCTAAAAACCCAAGAGAGAGGGCGCCGCGGGGGCGGGAGGGGCGGAAGGAGGCATTTACCCTTCGGCCACTGGAAGAAGGGTTATTGCGCCTGCCCCGCGCCTAACATGATGTTCCCCGGCCTCCTCGCGCCCCCCGCCGGGTACCCCAGCCTCCTGCGCCCCACGCCCACCTTAACGCTGCCCCAGTCCCTGCAGTCGGCATTTTCCGGGCACTCGAGCTTCCTGGTGGAGGATCTGATCCGCATCAGCCGGCCCCCCGCCTACCTACCCCGCAGCGCGCCTACGGCCAGCATGTCGCCCCCTAGGCAGGGGACCCCAGCGAATCTCACAGACACCGGGGCCTCGGACCTGGGCTCCCCCGGTCCGGGCAGCCGGCGGGGCGGCTCTCCGCAGACCGCCGTCTCCCCTGCCAGCGAGCCCACGTTTCTGAAGTTTGGGGTGAACGCCATTCTCTCCTCGGCGCCCAGAAACGGTAAGTGAGCGCAAAACGCCGAGGGCGGGTCTAGGTGCGGAGTCCTTCTCGCCTCAGTTTCCGGTACGCGGCGGGTACCCACGCACACGTCTGCGCGCACACACGCACGCACTGTCCCCGCGGCCTCGAGTCGCGGACTGTGCCACAGGTTTCGCGGATTCCCGGGAGGAGAAGCCTCCAGGTTCGCCCTCCCCCGCAGAATGAGCCTGAGCAGTTCAGCGGCCGAGAGCGCACGGCTCCCGAGCGCGCGCCAGGCGCGTCTGCGTGTCGGCCCTCCAGCCTCCCGCAGCCAGTTTTTAAAAACCCAAGACGATATATTTGCTGGCTTAGTTACTATTATGGGTCTGCAGTTCCTTTCCGCACCTCACTCCTACCTATCTCGTTAGTGCCTAGGATGAGATTGGGGCCTGGGGGGGGGGGCTGTTTTGCGGGTGAAAAGAAGGATTTCCACAGATGAGACACGTTAGGAAAATATTAATTTTACTGTCAATACACTGAAGAAGATGCCTTTGAAACCAGCCGAAAGGTTAATCATATCACGTATTCAATAATCAGAACAATCAGGTACGTAACCAGATTCCCTCCTTCGCTCCCTCCCTCCCTCTCTTCCAGAAGCATCCCCCACCTTGCTCCAGAGCGTCCCTCCCAAGACCTTCGCCTTTCCCTACTTTGAAGGTTCCTTCCAGCCTTTCATCAGATCTTCGTATTTCCCAGGTTGGTCTCGCCCCCCTCCCTTTCGCGGGGCTGGGCGGCGCCCCAGTCCCCAGCCCATCGCTCCCGGCCCCGAAGCCATATTTCTCCGTCGACCCCTCTGGGTTACGCTCTGGTTCAGAGGTTGCAAGGCGTACAACATTCACGAATCCGTCGCGCCAATTTGATGCCCTATTTAGCACAAGCAAGTGACTGCTTGACACTTTGCACCAATTCCCTGCTCTACAAATTAGCAGGAATTGTCATGGTCCCAGTTTGAGGCGGTTCCCTTCCCGGCGAGGAGCTGTTGGCATCCCTTCACGCCGCCGTTTTCCCACAGAGCCAGCGCCCTTGGCCACGATCCCCCACAAAGGTTTCAGCACCATGACCAATTGGTCAGCTCCTCCGGGCAGCCACACACAGACAGAGCGGCCCTGGCCCCTCCACGCCGCCCGGAGACACCTACCAGCCGGGGCTAATTTCTCCTGAAGACTCATTCAGGGCCTCGGGCTTTTTCACAAGACCACATGGGGTGCCCTCTTGTGTGGGATGCCTGGGGTCGCCCTGGGGGAGGGAGACGAGGTCCTCCCACAACCCCAACCTTCTTTTTCCAGCCTGATTTCCCAACGTCTTCTCATACCCTCCCCCCCAAAACACACACACACCACCGCATTTTTTTTTTTTTTTGAAGGACCCACTAAGCTGGTAAAATCAGCCTGAGGGAAGCCCGTCATTGGTTTTCCTGGTCCCAAAGAAAAACACCTTAAATAGGTCCCAGGAGGCTTTCGTCCTGGAGCCCCAGTGGCGGCGCAAAAAACTCTGCCGCTGGTCCAGACTGAAGGCGAAAGAGGGGCCCCTGGAAGGAGGGGAGACGGGCCCGGCGGGCGGGGGAGGGGCAGCGCGCGGCCCCGCTCTCCCCAATATCCGCGAGGGAAGCGAGCCGCGGAGTTTTAAAAGGGGGAGAGAGGGAATTCACCCGCCATTCACGCCGCTGCTGATAATGGAATTTTCCCCCTTTCTCCCGCGTCTCAGCGCTCGAACAAAAACAACCCGAGCTTTATAAATAGCTTTTCATGTCCATTTAATGAAAATGGCTCGGGGAAGAGAAGCCTCTGCCATCAGTATTCGCCCAATGGCCCTGGCCCGCAGTTGTGTTTAGTTTGAAAGTGTAAATCCCTTTTGTCCCAGTAATATATGGCTTTCGCTGCTTGTCCTCAGTCTTTTTCGGTTAGTTCATTACTACACAATTACCATTCACGCTTCATTAGAGTCTCTGTTTCTCTCTGGCTCTTTCTGTCCCCTCCCCTAAAGCGCAGCTCCCCCCTTTCCACCGCGCCGGGCCCGCGGGGAAGCGGTCAGTGTGCTCATTAGCTGCCACTTTTCATGTATTCGGGGGCCGAATTCTTTACGTTTGGTGGGGGAGGGGAGGAAAGATTAATGTAAAAAAGATGAATACTGATTGGATTAAAAAAAAAAGATAAATCCCAAGCGGGTTTTCTCCCCGCTCTCACATCCGTAAAGCACCTGGTTTTCATCGAAAGAAGGCAAAAGCCACCAAGGCGACAGAAGCTTACGTGGGAAACCCATTGGCCTGAGCTGGCTATTTTATTGTTGTAACTTAATTGTTTCTGTTGCCGTTTTTTAGCTGATGCTACGCAGGTTTGTTTCCCTGAGACCGTTGAATGGAGAAAGGAAAACAGACCATTGAGGGAGCTGTTTTCTGTGTGTCCCTGGTTTTATCTAATCCGGGTTTGCACGTTTGAAAGGGAAAGTTATTTGGGCGGAAAGCGCCTTTCACTCGCCAAGGTTTGCGGGTTCCTGGCCTGTTCCGAGGGGGAGGAGAAGGGGACCTCTAAAGGGATGAAGGGGTCGCAGAGAAAAAACGGAGCGAGGGGCAGGGACGCGGCGGCGGGACCCCGCCCGCTCACGCGCCACCGCCCTCCCCTCCGTGCGCCCCGCAGCGTCGTCGGGCGTCGTGCCCATCCC